AAGCTTATTGAAAACACTCGCACACGGATAGAAGTATAGAGAAGCATACAAGCACTCAGACGCTCCTGCTTAAAATGAAATGGAAGATAAGGTTATGCAAACTAAATGGCAATGGAAAAAAACGATGAAACACCAATCAAACTAACTTGGCGAATCTACAGCTCAGAGGTCTTGAATGGCTACTATCCAAATGTAGGGGTCTTCTGAACAACCCACAATCATTTAGATTTTCCTCATGTCACTACCAAGAATGCCGTTTTTCACCACGAGACTACGATTCCCTTTGGACGACTATGATGAAAGCGACGCCGTTTTGACGACGAAGCAACATTCGCTATCACAGCTGACATTGGCGATAAGAGTGACAACTGAGTACCGAAAAAGTAAAGGTTGGCTGAAGAGTGTTGGAGAAAGAGTCAAGAAACAGAGAATAGGAAAACAAGCCTACAAACCACGTGCCTGGGCATCAAAAAATGGAACCCTGAAGTGAAAGTTTTTAAGCTGTGCCTGGGCATCAAAAAATGGAACCCTGAAGTGAAAGTTCTTAAGCTTCGAAGCTTTCGAGGGCAAATCGCCGTGCAAGATAATCTAATAGGTATGATTCCAAACCAAATCGATACTGAGAAGCTACATTAAATTCCGAGCTGAAAGTAGAGATGAGGTGAGGACTGTCGAATGGATGGCTAACTGGACATGAACTGGTTTCGATAGAGTACAGCTTCAGGAGGAGCGAACTTTTGAGTAGGCCCCNTTAAGCTTCGAAGCTTTCGAGGGCAAATCGCCGTGCAAGATAATTTAATAGGTATGATTCCAAACCAAATCGATACTGAGAAACTACATTAAATTCTGAGCTGAAAGTAGGGATGAGGTGAGGACTGTTCGAATGGATGGCTAACTGGACATGAACTGGTTTCGATAGAGTACAGCTTCAGGAGGAGCGAACTTTTGAGTAGGCCCCCGTCAGGGACATCAAGAGCTCAAGTACAAGTTCTTGTGATACGTATGTACAAATGTCCTTATTTCTGATGAAAGCACGAAATTCATAGGATTTATTCGCTCCTATTTATTGAACTTACTTACTACATATTACTTGTTCAACCGCTGAATTAATTTAAAGGCACAGTTCGCTATAATTTTGAGGTATCCAGAATGTAAAGTGGCCGTGCAGGTGGAGCATAGTGCATCCTTGCTGAAGAAAGCGAAAAAATCCGCCGACCCCACCCCAAAATGAGGCTTCCCAAAAGTAGTGAAGATAGAGTTGTACAAGATTACTAGTATGACGGAAACATCTGAGAAGGGGTATTCGGATTCAGTTGTTGCGATCGCATAATGTGCTGACTACATTAAACCAGAACTGTCCATAACCACTGTCGCCACGACTAGTTGTTTGAATTTCTGAAATGGATGTCCCTTGTGAATGATGCAGACTCTGCAGTGCCGTTATAACTCCTTCGCCCTTGGGTGTGGCGTACAGCCGATACAGACTTGAGCCCTTGCGACGCCTTATCCAGGCCGTTTTCTGATTTGACAGTGCTACTTATGATATATGAGGGGACCACAGGTTCATCATAGGGGAAGAGTGATATCTCATATGTATACCTCTATTATGATGAACTGTGCCGTTGAAATGAGCGATTGCTCTACGTACTCAGTCCCTAATGGGAAAAGGTGACAAGGCTATACATTACTCACTACGCTGGATGCAACATCCGACCACTTCTTACCGTTAGCTAAGGAAGAACTGTTTCGAAGAAAACACCAAGGAATTCAACACTACATGGTCAGAATAACCTGAGTCGAGCTTACCCATAGGCTCATGGTTGCCAAGGAATTGATTAAGGAAAGCTCAGGTTACGATGGATCGCAGTACTTGCAACTACTTCCATGAACCGTTTTAAGAGTCCATTTCTCCGTCAAGTAACTTCACCGTATTACATATAGTTGTTGAACAATCTGAAGATCGAAGAATTAAGCTACGGTAAAGACATAATGCCGGAAGCCTCAGGTTATTACAGGAACGAGAATTCTTCACGGGAACTCGGCTCTCACAGTATCCTTACTGTGGAATAAAATGCATTAGATGCAGAATTTCACAGACAGTCGATATCTTTTCACATCATAACCATGCTTGAATACACAAACCCTCAAACCGTCACACAACGACGCATCGAAAGGTGGCCTGGGCGAGGAGGCAGTTGAATAGTCGGGTTACTAAGAGATCGTGTTGTACCTCGACCACTGCCTTGAACCGGGATACCCATATGGCTTACTGTGAGGACCGAATTCCCATAATTCTTTCTCGAGAGAAAGTGAGATTAGCGGTGCTATACACGAAATGAATCGATGCAGAGGATGATACAGCAACATGGACAAAAAAAAACTGGCCCTTTCTGGAACTAAAATACTCTCTGTTGATCTCCTACGATGAAAGTTTCGATACGTTCGAAACCTCCAACTGGTGAGTATAACATGAGCAAAAAGCTGACGGGTAAGGCAAATGTTGGTGGAGGCACAAATGCATGAAGAGCAAATGGTCGGGAGGCTCCGTTTTCCATTCAGTGTCGCTATCGACGTGGCATGGCGATATCAAAGAAATGTCATTCTACTGCTTGTCATTGGAAGGCAAGCGTTCCAAAAACAGCTCCAACGAAATCCGAGCTGCCTCTGAGAAAACGGTATTCTTATCTAACAACAAGACGAAGAGAAGGGATAAGGGCTCCTCTCTTCCATAAAAGCCGAATCTTAAAGAAGCCAAGCTACCGAGTAAATTAAACAGCTGGCCAAAACTGAACAAAAAGAGAAGACAGCATTTGAAAGAGAAAAATGGGAGGGGTGGACATCCTTGATCACTTCGATGTTTGGGATGAGCCTTGCATATAAGGTCCATCAAGGTCATAAAGCATTTACTCCACATTCACTGTTTTGTGTGCCCAATAGAGACGTGGTCGTGTGAGCTGGATTCCTTTTCAGCACTTTTTTTAGGACTATAAATTACTAGAAAAAACCCAGGCTTCACTCACTAAATAGAGACTCTGAGTGGGAGATTAAAAGGCGTTTCTCAGAGAAAGAACTCCTCGCGCCCCACAGATTCAGCTTTACAAATTGCTCCGAAACCCAACCGCTTTGCATAATTCATGGGATGTTCGACAGAAAGAGGCCTGGGAGCTTCACGATGTGTTCCACAAAATTATCATTCTCATTCTCAATGACTATTTTGAAGCATTCGCTCTGTGAATTCTGGTATTTCATTGTTGACACAGACCACAGGCACATCCTGAGAGCAGCGCTATGACATCAGCACAACCCAGACCATTGGGTCCATCCAGTTCCCTAAAACTGCATGGATTGCTATTACAAGCCGGAACACCACGGAAATGGATGGTCTAGGAAGGTACCCTTAGGAAGACAGAAACACTAATGTGGCTTCACGGTGTCGAATTCCTCCAAAAACCGTGTCCGACGAAACAAGGAACGGCGCTTTCTAACGAGAAGGGGCAAATGCTTTCATGTAATTCTCTACCCAAAGAGCGTCATGAGACTAGAATTTTCCTTCCGCAAAATTTGACCGGAAGTTCGAGATGAATTTCTTATTCATTCCGTCTATCTAAGAGTTCAGAATTCTCCTGTGGATACTGTAGAGTGATGTTGAAATTCTCTAGGGAAATTAACCCGATGTTCAAAAAAGAATCTCTAACTGATGGGTAACTCTAATCCCGAGATGCCCTTTCATTTGCACTGACACCAACGTCATGGAACCAGGTGCACTTGGCTGGAGATAAAAACAAGCGTACGAAGATGGTTATGAGGAGTGGGAGGGCCACCAGTTAGATTTTAGGGTCTGGTGGGCGTGTGAAACAGTAACCACCCCAATACCTCGTCACTCACCACTGAGTTCCACCATAGGAAGCTTTTTATTTTGTGTGGGTGTTTGGAGGCGCTTGAGTGGGCCTTCGGGCTACTGTATCACAGATTCGCGGGACTTGAAAATCCATCTCCTGAGAGGATCTTGTATGGGAAGCTACATACAAAGTTGATTACGACGTTTTGTGGGATTGGCTTCTCTACACCTTCTTCAAGGTGTAGCCTAATGGATCGAACTTGGAAGTTAAAGCGCCCGATTAAATAAGAAATAGGGAAAATGCTACACGAGAAGAGGATTCTCATCATTTACGCTCACTTCCCTTATAGGCCACTCATTTCAATGAACGAAGGCTTTCGATAGAATAATTGACGAAGATTTCCCTTTTGTGTGATAGTTGTAGTTGCAAAATGATCTCATGAAAGAAAAGGAGTCTCTCGAAGCACCATTCACACTCTTCACTAACAACTTTGCCCGAACTTTGAGCTTCTGAGTGCTCTCCCCCTCTCTCTCTCAGAACTGCATCGAAAGTCCAGTCCATGTCGATAAAAGCATTACAAGTCTATAAATATCGAAAGAAATGGTCTTCAATCTAGAAAAGGCGCAAATCCGAATTACTAATAATAACAGGCAAAAAATGCGCAGGAAATCCCTGATGTCTGGTAAGTAAAGAGAAAACCGAGAATGAGACAGCAGATCGATATGCCGCTGGAAATGAGGCTGGTCGCCAGAGATGCCCATGTCCGGGGGCAGCGGCATTGCTCGATTCAATCCAATTCGCCAGACGACGCCGTTTGTTGCTAATTTTTCCAACGTTCTTTTCTACAGCGGTTATTTCTGGTCCCCAGCTGAAAATTGCCGGCCACAAATAGAAACTTTAATAGCTCTATATACAATTCTCAAATCAACAAATCTCTCAGCGTACACATCTAAAGTGTGAAGAAAGCTCATTCTATGAACTATTTGTAAACAACGAAGAAATCGTCAAAGGCCGACTGGTCTAGGAATAGCTAACAACCAAAAAATGGAGCAACAGTGATCATCAAACAATCAGATATGTAACAATTTAAACTATCAACAAAGTTTTCAACAACAACAACAACAATGCCACTTCCAACGGCTAAAAAGTTGAACATCAGTTTCACGTTTTTATGACTGCTTTCCTCGCCTTGTTCTTCTTCTTTTGTTTGCTCAAGACCCCAGAAACATCTGCGAATAATTTCAGGTTTTGTGATTCTTCAAGCTCTAATTGAAGCAGTTCCAAGGCAGCCAAATTGAATCCCGTTATGTCCTAAAAACAGATCTCGCTCCTTAATAGGCGTTTAGAGAGTATTTTGCGAAATTAAAACATACGCGAACTTCCGTTATTCCTTTTGGCATTTCGGCTGAAATCTTCTCGAGAACAGGCAACATTGCAACAGAATTGATTATGAAGTTCTGATGAATCCTGAACAAGAAATATAGTTGGCCTAAAAATAAACAGCACGCGCAACTACATCATACACCATAGTTCAAGCTGTGCTGCAGCGGTGCGAGAGCAAAGAACCATCGAAGAAAAGCATATGAAGAACTATATTGCTGAGGAAAGTCTGATTGCCATCGCTGCAGGCTGCCTTTACATGCAGCGGAGTTTTCCCAGATAAAAAGAGCGTAGTTCGAAACATTCCAATTTGGGTTCACATGCTGCACGGGAAGACAGGTAATTGCATTATTTTTCTCACTAATACCGCAGAACTATACAATCCGACACCCAAAACTTTCTTTTTGAGGAAATCAGAAGCTTGAAAGTTTCGTAGCGCCGATTTTACCACTGCAAAGTCTAGGCGCCGAACAAACGGCCAGAACCATANAAGTATAGAAACGCTTCATCTTTTGCATAGACGGCATTCATAAATCTCGAGGATTCCCATTAAAGACGAATTACACATCCCATAACGCAGGAGACGTTAGTTTGAATCCAGATGTGAGGTTAATGTGAGATACATGGCCTTAGAGAAATAAGTAGATCAATAGCATCTGAAACGGACCTTATCAAGAATATTGCAATTCGGACTGCAAATTCAACTCTGTGGCGCTTTTGAACACATTCCGATAAAGCAGAAAGAATATCGGAAATATAGCTAAGCGGAACCATGAGCAATGACCGTTCGAGATTGCTGAAAAACTCCACATGGGCTAACTGATTCCACCAACATGAGAGCAACAATTATGAAAGGAGTACCTTGGACGGCATCTTCCAATGACGTCAATAATGAAATGGTCGAGGGACTTGCTTTTATAAGCAGCGAGAAGAGGATGAGGCTTGTGCTGAAAAACAACAGCAATAACGTGAAAATTCAGAGAGAAGAACATTCCAAGCAACTATTATGGAGTGCCCTGAAAGAATACCTCGTCATTCCCTGCCAACTGCGCCCTCTCATTCCTCACAATATCAACTGCTTCAATGATGTTCTCTGCCTAAAAAAACTGCTATGAATCTTGAAGTGCAGCAGCTATAACCAGTTGTTCAAAAAATCCAATCAAGTAACACTGCGTTACAGTGAACAAAAATAACAATCACTACATTGTAAAAAGAGAAGAAAATGTAGATATCACGTACCGTAACCACACTCTCGCTATTTTTGACCGAAGCAAGGCCTGCTTCAGCGTCAATTGCTTCACCGGTAACCACGTCTTCTTCATCTAGGAGACGTGCTTCATAATCCTTTTCTCTAAAAAGTTTCATGAATATTCAACTGCAAGGAGTAGGAGTACATCCAAGCAATAAGTTTATGCTTTCGAGCCTGATTTAATTCTGTTCAAGGACATTTAGCCACAACAAGCAATGGAATGAAAATAACGCTTAAAATATCCAGTATTGTAGTGTACAGCGAGGTACTACGGCACTCTTGCCTACACGATTAACAATGAGACCTCTCATTCTAGGCCTTCCTGACCTTGAGTTCCTCTGACACTTCCATAACATGGCCTCTGTACGGGCCAAGAGCTGTTTAGGGGCTTACACATGAGAGAAGGATAAGCAGTAGCTTTAGAATACACATATCTACATGTCGCACCACGGGGCCTACACTCTTACCATTGTAATTCCTTTTACCGATCCTTTCGGATAGAGAATTTGATGCGCTTTTAACTTTGGCGATCCAGAGGACCATACATATCGGTATAAATATTCTATTTCAAGCTCAATTATTACACGTAGTAGTGCTGATGATGGCATGCTTTTAAGCAGCGACATCAAATAGAACAGCATCCTTTTTCATTATCAGAGTTGTGCTCCAGTGGTAACTCTAATCAATCGCATTTTAGAATGAGCATACAAATTTTACTCATACTTAGAAATAATAATAACTTTGTGATACTATCGCAAAGCGTGCTTTGAAATGCGTGAGCCAATCGATGCTCACGTCAGCACTTTCATCCCTTTTGTTTAAACAAAGAGAATTTCATTAAATGGAAGCGGTTAGAAAGAGGAAATTGCTTTAAAAAACAGACAAACCTCTCCATCTCCTCCTCCTCTTCAACGACTATGATCTCTTCAGTGAGTTCCCAGCAACGCAAAGATTTATCATGGGAAGCAGAGAACTGAATATTGGAAAAGATAGCGACCTAGTCAATCAGTCAAGAAAAAAAATTGTCATTTGCAATTTCTTTGCAACGTATGGGATTGCGCAATAGTGAAAATTATTCAACCACTGCACAATTAAAGCACTAGAAAAATGTTATGAATTGGAAACCTTTGTAAGAGAACACCTGCATTGAAACTCTGTCAGACAATAGTGGAGTGTCCTATCAAAAATTTTGGTTACACCTAACTATCCTTACTATATATACAGTAGCGGCAAAAGTGTTCAGCGAAACCCTTTTCCAATTGTAGCTTTTTTCCTACTTCATAAATTATACGAAATTTTAGTATGTCAATCAAAGGTGTATCGTGATACTTATGACTATTAAACTGTTCACGGAACGTTAATGAGATTTAATTCAAATACGTGGGAAATACAGATAGCATCGCCTTATAAAAAGCGCTTTATTCAGAATAGCAACATATAAACATCAAAAACATCGATATTTGGTAGGAAAGCCTCGACTTTACATGACAGCGTCGCAATGGGAAGGCACTGAGTCGATCAGTTTTTGAATGGCAAACACTGGCACAACGCTAACTCCTTCACTTATTGAGCGAATTTTTCTTCTCTGTTTTTACAAAATTTGCTCGAAAAACGCATTTTGAGTTCTTCCCACATGTGCTCTACAGGATTCATATCGGATGGCTGGCTTGAGCTCTCCAGAAGTAAGGTTCGCTGTACGCCGAAGCCGCCTTCACAAATATTGACAAGTGTTTCGGATCTTTACCCTGCTGCAGGATCTACTTGCTGGCATGTGATGCTATGCCCTCGACAAGACGATGCCGGCCTTCATGTTCTTGTACTACTTCCTTGCCACTGTGCCTCAAATAGGGCCCATTCCTCTCGAGGAGAAGGCACCGTGTAACATCACACTTCCTCCCATGCTTGGTTGTTGGAAAGGTGTACTGGCATCGAACCCTTCCTCAGATGGACGTCGTCCGCACCGTATACCATCGCTTCCAAACTAATTGGACTTGCTCCAATCTGTAGAACTCTGGAACTCTAGAACACTACCACAGTCAGTCGAGTTTAGTTGAGGTGACAGCGCGCAAACTCCACTCTAGCTCTCCTACTTTTTCGACTGATGAACGGCTTCTTGGTCGACGCCTCCCATAAAAACCAGCACTGTTTAGGGGTCTTCCTACAGTCTGCCGGCTAGCAATGATGTTATCACTAGCTGAACTCAGCGATAATATCAGCCGCAGTGAGCAAGAGTTAGTCCTGGACCGAAGTGTGATCCGACTGCCCTGGACTGATAAAGTACGTCGGAGTCTTCCTGTTCTCTAAGCATTGCAAACAACGTTTCTGACCTGCTAGCAAGAGATAATCGGAGATACCGTCTGCTGTGGGACTTTCAAAATTCTTGAAATGACCGTGACTTTCATGCCCGATCCCATCATGTCTACTACTGCCAGCCGAACTCTTTGAGTGACCACATTCCTTCTACGCAAGCTTTCAGTGAATACATACTGACGTCGAGCACAGATGCAAAAAATGCATTTATCGCTAACCTCGCAATCAGGAAAACCTCTGCGAGCAGTCACTTGATCCCCCGTTTTGAAGCCAAAAAGTATTAATTGGTTTCTTTGAGGTAAGGTTCAACGTAGCAAATTTTTCCTAGAATCCCACTACTGGGGAGAAAGTTACGACTGGAAAAGCGTTTCACCGAAGACTTTTGACCGCCACTGTAACACGCTCCCACCTGTCTATCTGTCTGTTTATTTATTTGTTCAATTGTTTTGCTTGTTTGTCACTGAATATGATATATATGTATGCCAGTTTGAGGCTAGATAATGGATTCGGGCAAACCCCAGAGCAGATGGAACTCGCACTGAGGTGGGAGGGTGAGATCAAAAATTCATCCATCTAAAAACGTTCTATACGGGGAGAAGTGGTAAGAGGTCATAGAAGGGATGCGGTCAAATCCTCAGCATGGGCGGGGCCGAGATCAAATAATTGTGACCCTGTTCAAAAACATTCTAGAACATGGAGACTATGGTCAGGGCATCGGGCAGCTAAAAAAGGGTTGTCAGATTCTCACGGTGGGAGGGATCTGCGCTGAGTTGAATGGAGCCACTATGAAACATCCATAGCTGGACTTTAAAACGTTATGGAGTCTAAAAAAGAACGAAGAGGCTCTGGAACGAAGGATGATGAAACCTATCTCTAAATTCACAACTCTGCTCGAAAACGTTCTTAACTTCCCAAAACCGTTATATGTATCATCAAAACGTACTACTGATTGAATCATCATCATTACTCAGTATATGTAAAGAATTTGCACCTGTCTGCGCTGTCCCGAAATTCGGTATTACCTGAAGGAGCTGAGGACGGTCCATGCAATGAGAATTCATAATTTCGGTTCAGAAAGCTCAGTCACCGGAGGAAAATGGACAGCTTAACCCAGGAATAGGTCAACAAATCAGATGAAAGAAACTAATCCGCGCTGAGAGGAGCATTCTCAAAATTTGTGCACGAATATATATTATCAGAAGTTCATCACTGCTTGATGTGTTTTTTGTTGAGAGGCAGGCATTAGTGAGCGTGCCCAATTGGCCTATCATAAGTAATGTTGATAAAGAAATAAAGAAAAGCGGATGATCTCACCAGCATGGACCCAGAATCGGATTGAGCGAGCGCTCGTACCGCAGAGGAGTGCCGATCTAGCACCTGCAACTTTTTGTATTGTTAATGATCATATCCGAAAGTTTGACTGGACCACTTCCAAAAACTATCTGTTTGAATAGGGATGATTTTTAGCTGCGTGAGCTATATGTAATTCAAAAAGAGAAATGTGATTCTACTGACCTGTACCCGGCACATTTTTTGAGCATCCCACTGCTTGATTTTACCATCGCGACCAGCCGACCAGACCAACATCTCGTCAGACGGAGAGAACATTACCGCGGAAACACTAAAAATTCCATCTAAAGGGTTACAATCTACTAGTAAGAGCCGAACTTAATTGGTTCTATAAATGGGACTGTTCAAAAGACATGCAGAAAATTGGTAGCTTTCTCTAGGCACGATTTTTCAATACAGTTTAAAGAACGCATCAGACGGAAAGCACCGGCTATATTGTTATACAGTATTTTCGTATCGCGATATCTCACTAATTACAGAATGTAAGTTCACATTCCAGCTCGTCATTCAGAAGCCAACAATCTTCTGTTCATGACCCAGAAGTCTCAGGACGGTAAGTAAATTTTATGACTGAGGAAATTTTGATCTTTTTCTGGAAGTCAATACAGCCCTTCAGGCGACTATTAAACCACTGCACTATAACTTAAGGTTAGCGGATCAACCAGCGGTTACTTAAGATATCATCTTCTCTATATTTCCATATGCCGGTCACAGACATTTTCCTTAAGGGGTAATTGAGAACTAACACATCATCGTGAGCGTGGAACGACTTGTGGCAATCTCCAAAGTCAAGTCCCCATATTTTTATTGACTTGTCAGCCGATCCTGTTACGACGAGCTTGCTATTCTGTAACTATTAAAATTTCGTCGGGGATGAAAGGGAAGATTATTTGAAAAAACTTACGGGGCTCACAGTGACACATGTCACTGGTAAAGAGTGCCCGTACAACGATATGAAAAATTTCAAGGTGTCATGAAAGTAGACGGCCGCTGTGTTATCCAACAAACCAATTATAACGAACTGGAAAATTCATTCAATCAATTCTTCTCAGCGTTATTCAATCAACCGTTCTCAACGTACAAATACTGCGTTAAAAAAATAAACCTTGCCATCAGGTGAAAAAGCACAGCAAAGGGCTTCATCTGGAACCTCGAGAATTCGACTTTCACGTAGTGTTAAGCGTTTGCTAAAATAGTAACGATGATGCTTACGACACACCTGCAGCCTAGAAACTTCGAATATTCCTAAACATCTAATTGCTAAAATCATTTCGAGCAAAATCGCCAGCGGTGCAGCCAAAATAACGAGGATAACTGTGAGCATTCAATGTTTGAAAACCTAATAAACAACTTTCGAAAATTTTACTGACAATCTGGAAGATATACCGGAAAGCATAGTCGGTACTGTATTTTGTATTATTGTTCGTATTAGCTGATCCCACACACAAAGGTAAATTAGAGGAACAGACAGAAGAAGAAGCAAATAATGGATACCGGGTTCCTTCGGTGACAATATCGTATGCCCAAAATTTCGCTCGTTTGTCAGCTGACACGGATAAGAGTTGCTGAAAACCACAAAGATCTAGCATATTCGATACAATCTTGCTAAATTATTTGATCTATCTAACACTTTGTGATAATGAATTTTGCTTACCTTACCATCTGGAGAGTGTGCGATTCCCCAAATGGCTCCCTCATGCCCCTTACGAGATTCCAACAATTCGCATCCCGCCACACTCCAAAGAAATAACTCTCCTGACTGAAAAACGCTTACGAATACGATGGAATGGTTCAATCATGAGAGTTCAGAAACGGTTGCATTTCAGCTTGGCTCAAAAGGCATTTCATAATTATTGGATTACATCCCACCATTGCCATATGTGTGCAGATAGGAATATCAAAAGTATAAGGTGAAGAAAAAGGACGGTCATGATTCTTGATTCCTCAAAGACTGTGGTGTAAACAGCACAAATTAAGTAATTCAGTGCCAACTTTCAACTAACTAGTATGTTAAACCACAAGACAGCACTATTTAATGATATTTTACATAAGATCGGAACAAATAGAGAAACACATTTAATGAAGTCATAAAACAAGCCGGAATGGAACGTTGAGAACAAACTTTCGTTGCCGCCACCACATGTCCGTCACCTTGGGTAAAAACTACAGCCATAACGTCGAGCATGGCCTCGTTTTGAAGCGAAGCCACGGGGCGAAGTGAATGTGTATTCCATATAATGAGCTTAAAATGGTTCCATATTTTTGTACTTTCACTAGTAGCTCAGAAGAAGCACAGTCACAAGACTAACTTCATCGCTTCCACCAGAAACTATCGCATTGTTTGACGAAGATATCGACATACCACGAATATCACTGCGATGGCCATACTGAAAAGAATAGCCTTCAGTCGACAACAGTAACGGTTCATATGAATTGCTTTGGCAAAATTATCATCATCACTGCTACATACGGCCTACTACATAAAACCCTGCAAGACCACGAGGAAATATAAAAATCAGATATCTGTTGAGCAAAACGAAGCCTATCCTATCAGGATTGCCTACAAAATTCAGTTGACGTGATCAAATTCAATAAGTAAGCTTATGAACTACAAAAAGAACCTTTTTGAAAAATGAGTTGAAACCTTTAGATAAAGTTCAATAAAGCAAGCCTTAAACGACTGGGAAGAAACTGAAATGAACAGACCTGGTCTAGCGTTGAAGCACATTCGAAGGCTACGGAGTTTGAATTCAAATCACATTTTATCTTCAGGAAGTGAACAGTATTGTTGGCCATCAGAGCAAAAGCCTAAAAGATGAAACTTGGATGCTCAAATAAGTTGTACCTCAAAATTTGAAAACAGGAATGTTAAATACCGAGTAGCCTACGGATCCCTCCTTACTTGGCTTGAATACACGAGTGAAATCAATCCATTTTATTTTAGCGGGTGTACGATAATCACCAATTCTGGTGACCAGAATGGTGACATCCTTTTTGACTTCATCCTCGGTAACATGTGTAGAAGCTTCGGCACTGAAACTTTTGTCAGTTGCATTACTAACCAAATCAGAAAATTCCCAAAATCTCTCGCATTATCGTGGACGAACGACTATGAGAAGACTGACTCATTTAGGGAACATCACGTTGCACACACGTCTCTTTTACAGGGACAAGACACAGATCATGGAGGTAAAAAAAAACTTAGGAAGGCGCAGAAATCGACATAAAATGGGATAACTTTCGCAAAGGGGAGGGNACCGTTATCAAAGCGCAGGGAGTGGAAGTATTGTGTTCATACGTAACACTGCTTCCTCAACAAATATGTGAATGTGGTCTCACTTAGCTAANGAGAGAGAGAGGGTAGGAAAGCATGAAGAAGTTTAACGAAAAGGCGATGCGGCTCTTAGGGAAGCAGCAAGGGCAGTAGCAGTAAGGCATTGAGAGGATGCATTAAGCCGTCATTCAACTCTAAGAAGTCCAATTGCCCTTCAAAAACTGGGCACACTCTTACGAGTGTATTTCAAATAAATAAATAAATAAACAACTGACAAAGCATTTCCACAGACAGTTACACAGTTACACGTCATAGTAGCCACGAGGCTGCGTTGTACTACGACCACTCTTTGAAACCAGGAACTTTAAGTATTGCTGTAGGAGCCCGTCCCCATAGCGCTCATTCTTAGCAATTGCGTCTCAATCGAAAGATGTGCGCTTTGACGCAGACTTGTTAGACAATACGACATACATATCTGCGTTACAACGAAGATACTACTAATGCGCCCATACGAGATCTTCGTTTTCGTCATATTCAAAAAAAGGACACTACGATCCTGAAGTGAGCTGAACACGTCTATGCAACCCAAAACGGGATTGAGCAACTACAAAAGACTAATCATCCTAGGTTAATAAACCATACCTATTCAAACAAACCTGAGAGACTCAATATCTTCTTCATTACTCAAGTTGTTACTGGCTCGAGTGGGAAAAAACATCTATTTCTTGAGAGTAAATTGAAAGGAATGAGTATTCTACCAAATGAGTATCCTAAGTAGTAGTAGTGAGCCTCATCAAGATCGTTTATGCTGCACTTAGTTCTGCCTTCAACTCAACATTACCCCGAAAGAGCCAATTTATCAAGTACATCGATACTACCCTCCGCTGTTTGTTATTTTCGCAACCATCATATAATATTTACTCATCTCCATTATATTAAAAGTTTTTTGTAAAGTGGACAGCGCACGAATGTGTCAAGCTAGCCGTGCAAAAAAAAAACACGCCCATCTCCCACAGTAAAAAATGTGTAGTGTGTCGAGCATGAAAAATAGCGAGACAGTAATGGAGAAAGGGTTACAAAAACTGTTGCTTACCTTATCAAACGCTTCCTGACGCTTTTTATCTTCTTAGCCAGACGCTTACTTGATTCCGCTTCAGTGAAGACTCGATATACATCAGCAATTTTATCAGAACCCTAAATTAATAGAACCATGATGGCACGTTCAAAAACACTGAAGGATCAAGGATAAACTCTCGCGTTGGTCAACGAAAATCTTGTATGCTTCCCGCATTCGAATTCCATTCAGAGTGGTAGTGGCGTGTTGAATGCGTATACGACCCATACAGTGAAACGAGGTAGCCACCCGACGTACAAGTTAGCGCTTCAATGCTCCAGACTAGTGTGGTTTCAAACGATTCCAAGAGACGAAATGTTTGTTGACCTCGAGTGGTATCGGTCCGAGATTCGATACCCTAATCGTACGATTGTCCCGGAGCCAGAATTGCGCATCAGCCCTTGTTCCACCACAAACGAATCAAAGGTATGATATATGTAGTTGTGTAGGGCTTAAGATTTGTTAATTTCCTTGATCTAGCAATAAGAGGCAAACTTAGAGGCTGAAGAAAAACAGAGTTGTACGAACCAAACATATGAAAAATCTGCGGTCAGGCGAAACTGCGAGTTGAAGAGCACGTCCTTTACACTGCCGTAGCAACTTCCCTCGAACATTTACACGAATGTAGCGCTGAAAATGCAGGACGGTGAGGAGTAAAACTGTGAGAAGAGATGGAGAAAATGAGAAAGGAAATAAAACATAAAATGAAACACATGAATGAACATAAAACACAAACTGTTGCTACAGGTGCTAAGCGTTGAATGGGAACAGATGGGCTCTCCTACGCAACACACAAAATCATACCGTTATCAAAGCGCAGGGAGCGGAAGTATTGTGTTCATAATTAACACTGCCTCCTCAACAAATATGTGAATGTGGTCTCACTTAGCTAACCGAACCTCAATGCATGAGTGCACTCTAAATGTGGATTCGAATATTACTACTATTTCCCTGGCAGTTTGCCAAGCCTGCATGACATGTAGATAACCGTTCTCTCAACTACTTTATTCTCCAATAATACGCCTCAAAAAAGCTTTCTGGCTTTCCAGAGCCTTTCCTTCACAGGACAGACTACACCTGGGAACGCTTGACAATCTGGGCTTAAGAATGATAATTGACGTGAATCCTCCCTGTATCGAGAGTTCAAAAAAAAAACTCACATTTGCCATTCCCTCTATTGAATTTTCGATATCCTGGGTCTCCGCTGTTTTCTTCTTCTCAGGCTCATCTGACGTTTCCAAACTTTGACCATTATCCTCCTCCAACCAAATTAATTCATACACGAGAAGCTCTGCCTCAGCACTAGCTACAACCATTAAAGAGTTGTCACAGAGAAGACTGAACGAGTACACCTGGAACAGTTAGTAGCAATGACGATCGGAAACCAATTAAGATTTGCATATACAAAGATAAGAGAACAAGCTATATTTCAAGGCAAAAATATTGGAAATCACTATACCTCTGAACTACTGTCGAATAATGTATAAAAACAGCTTTGACTTTTGAGGCTCCAAAACTTGACGAGACAATCCTTTGACCTGGAGTGGAACCAATTTGTCGAAGACTTGTGTGGGAACAGAACACTTAACTTACGATGATATAAGGAATTGGTCATCACGTGCGAAAGCAAGATGAGTGACGGGACCTTTATGACCGTTGAGACGAAAAATACCACTTTCCGAGACAATATCCCATAGAATCACTACACAATCCTATGAAGAAAACTGAGAGCTTTCGAAATATTAACATGTTTGAAGTCGTTTGGGGAATTTTCACTCCAAATTTCAAAAACACTTCAGAAGCCTCTTCGAGAAAAAGCGTTTTTCGGCTAAAAGGGCAAGATGACCATATCAGCACAATGACTCAGGGAAAACGCAAAAGGTGCGATACTCAAAAGGAATTGGAAGATACACACTCCACATTATTCCCAGTTCAAGCTAACAATCTGATCTCGCATACATTGGGATCTAAGTGAAGAGACAAAGTACCTTGCCTCCAGAAGCCAATGTAAGACCGTCGTCGCTGAATGCTAAGCAGCTGACCGCTTTTTTATGACCCGAGTACACGACACAGTTTTGTTCTGCAAAAACTAAGCGTTGAACACAACAAACTGTAATATCGACCATCACTACTCACCAGGAGCTTTTCTATCGAACACTCGAATAATACCATCAGCATACCCAACGGCTTGCCACCTCTTGTCTTTGCTAAACTTTATGCAAGTAGCTTCCTTAGTGGACTCTGATATCTCATGCACCTAAATGCATAATCAACGATTTTCCATAATAAATTTTACTTATTCCACATCTTCTTTCCCATTGAACAAAATTTAATTCATGACAGCTTTCAAAAAGACAGTTGTTGAAAATAAGGCTCTTGTGGGAATTATCAAAACATTCCGTGCAATCCGAGGAACACTGCCACGTTTATCTTCGATCAGAACGCGTTGCGAAAGTCCTATAAGGTTGGCAAGTCATGAGAAGAACTTCGTCCTAGGACGGGACGCGAACAGGCACTTCTGCTCTTTATCCTGTACACCACCAAAATCTCGGTTGCCCTCGCCTTCTGAGTAGCTTTTAAGCCACAGCTTATGTAAACACCCACACGTACAATTCAGTTGTTGGCCAATATCAGCATTGAACCGTTAAGCTGGAAGATGTTCTGTTAATAACATCAATTATCAAGAGCTTCATGCCAAAAAAAAATTATAGCAAGAGTGTCACGCTTATCAAAATAATGGGACCTTCGAATCTCACGATTTGCATTGCAGGGCAACCACTTCGACAGAAAATAAGAGTGAGCAAAGTATGGAATGGGGTGTTGATGGAAATGTAGTTGGGGAGGGGGATTGGAGTAGCACACATTACAGTGTAAGTATAACAAGATATGAATATGATTTCAGTGTGAAGGGTTAATTTTTGTCACAATGGCACTGTATCGTAGACGAAGAGGAGGATGAGCTCCGGCCATATGTGCGCTCTTATGCAGTCATAGCCAGGAAAACGTAGGTTTTTTTAAAATCAAGCCTGGAAGGGTAAGAGCTCCAAGGCGGGTGAGGTGATTACCTCGAGCGAAAAATCGAGAACACCCCGCCTCCGGTGCTTTTGCTATACTAACATGTTTATGTGCCTCACCCCCCCCCCCC